CCCCAAAACCCCAAAACCCCAAAACCCCATGATTAAGTTAATTGGCAACAAAGCATTGCACAAACTTTTTCATAATAAAGTATTTATTTCATAAAGTAATAAATTTCAAATCATTAGTTGTGAGCTGCATCAGTAAATCTTAAATATCTTATCAGTGCCTTTTAAATTGCTACCAAAATCATATTTATTGATTAGGCTATAGTAATGTTTATTATAAATCATTTTATCTTCCCTTTCATTATAGTTTTCATAATCATTACTAATATCCAATAGGTTCTAGGTTTTTTATTTATTTTACTTTGATGTAATATTAAGTTCATTTATCTTTATAAATTTCTAATTGTGATAGTCCTCTAACCCCTTGCGTTTCCTTAGATTGCCATTTTTACTTTGAATTTATACATCTTGATACGAGTTATTGTGATTATCATAAACATTTCTACTCTAATTTATTAGATTTTATTTCATAGTACTTGGATTACTCAATCCATAGAAAAAATCCTCGTTTTAATAGGCATTGCTCTATGAGTTATTCTAATTTTTATTTGACTGCACTCTTTAAGATGGGTCTTTGAAAGGAGATTGGCGATGAAATATATTATCAAATGAGTCAGATTCTGCTTGCTGCCTAATGCTATACTTCGCTTTATTTGATTATGTCTCCAAAGAGGTGTTATTACGAGCTTGCTGCCTTAGATTGGGTAGCTTCATTGAAGGATTGTTTCTTAGGCTATAATCGAATTCATTTCTATTGATTCTCGAAAACTACTCTGATATCATCCTATCAGTTTTAAAGTCTTAATTTCTGCTGACAATAACTTACTTGCTATTAGAATTTTTATTCAAAGATTACTGCACTGCCTAAAATATAAATTACTATCAATTTAATTCCATACATTTAAGATTGTTTCAGCCTTTTTAAAGTAATTTGGAAGCTCTGGTAAGTCTAGCTCGTTCAAGTTTTCTTTTACCAGAATAGGGGCAGATGCCTACAGCTAATCTTAGTAAGAATAATTTAATTTTAAGGCTCATCAGTCTTCTGGAATTAGATTCCTTTGTATAAGTTTCTATTGACTATAGCTTAGCAAACTTTGATAAGGCATTTATTTATTATCTCTCTACAGAAATAATGGGTTAGAAAAATAAATGTTACCATAGGAGTTATGAAATTGTCTGCGGAATAGTCATTTTTCAATTTAAGACTTATGATTGACATTAATAAAATTTAATCAAAAACAATTATAAAATTAAGGAATAAGTATTATAAAATAATAATTACTAAAATGGAAAAATTGATTAGCTCATCTTTGGAATAAAAGTACCGATTGCTCCAATCTTAGTTGGTGAATCAAAGCAAGTTGCAAATTGTCAAATGCTAAAACTGTGAGTATCTTTTATCAATTCAAGGCTCTTAGAAATGTAAATCATGCTAATTTAGTTATTGTTGACCATGTCTTTAACTTCACAATGAATCTGTGCCTCATTGTCCAAAGTGTCAAATGAGTAATAGCTTAGAAAATTTACACAGAATTACGTAAAACTAAATAAACTAAATAGAAATTTAGTGCAATTGCTCTTGTAATAAAATTTATCTATATAAAGATCTTGAAAATCATCTAAGATTATCTAGTTAAAATGATTAAGAAATAGTTATTTAATCATTTGTTAATTGCTATTTTTGTGTCTCAATTATTAATAAAGATGAGTTAAGTGCCCATTTAAAGTGAACTTGTATAATTTCTAAAGGCTATTTATGCTCTTGGCCATGTATTGATAGATTAACTAAAATCCCTGAGCTTTAAATGAAATTTGGCTTTTGCTCAGTTTGTGATCTAAAGATTGCAAAAGTTGACACTAAGACTTTCATCGAAATGCTTTAATAAATTTACATTGAATCTAAAGTCAGTATAATTAGTGAAACTGCTATGAAAATATACAGTTTAAAGTAAAGAGAAATTAAAATAGCACATGATAAGAAAATACTTTGTGAGATATGCGAGAAAGAGATTATAAATGAGAACTAACCATCAATTATGCGATGCTTAGCTTGTGGTGATAGTGCAATATGTAGTGAATGTTTAGCTAACGAAGAATGCTAAGTATGCAATTAGATTTATTGCAAATTATGCTTATAAAAATGCTTTAGCTGTGCTGATCAAAGTATATGTCTTTTATGTAAAGAGAAAAATGCTCTTTATTGTAAGTGTTGTGATTAAGTAGCTTGCAAGATTTGTCTCAATTAAGATACTGGGGTTTGCAAGTAATGTGATTTAATTTACTCTTATGAAGAAGTCTGTGAAGGTTGCTTTTAAAGTTCTGATTAGCCTAGAGTAGAATGTAGTCTTTGTAAAATTAAAGTCTCAAAAGACTGTGTCTCTACCTGCTAAACTTGCAAGAAAAAAATGTGTCTTCACTATTGTACGCAATTAAAAAATAAAAAGAAATGTAAGTATTGTTGATTATAATTTAGAAACTGTCTAACTTATTTGCAGTCTTAATATCATGCTGGGGTTTTGGGGTTTTGGGG